ATCAGAACCAGGACCTGAAGTACAGCTTCCATTTCTAACACGTCCTGTTTGTGCCAACGGGAGTAATGGGGGCAAGAATTCAGCTAGACCATTTGAACTCAGTGTTGAGTAAGTTCACAGTTTGACAGCCCCAAGAAGCACTAGAAGACTACTTGTGTCACACTCATGCAAGATAGACTCTTGAAGTATGTATTCAAGATGGACACTTCACCTTAAAACAGAGTTAATAATGGACACTTTTCTTTGAAACAGAATGGAGTTGAAAGTCATATTTTCTTTTCTTTCCTGTTATATAACTGAATAAATCCCTCAAACTAAGCTTCTTTCCTGGATTAGTCATCAAAATATGAACAATAGCTTTGAGAAGTTATTAAAATGTTAACAGCTTTCCTATGAAATAATTGCTGCTCTCTCTAAGTAATGAAGGTGGTCCATAATGCTACCTGCAGATATTTTAGCTTTGAATTGGATTTTTTTTTTAATGGATGTGAAAATACTTTTTTCTATCACAATTGTGGATGTACAAGAGAAATTCAGATGCCATTGTTTGACAATGACCAAGTTATCACATACCATTTATGAGTAGACACTCTAGTAACATGTCAGAAACTAGGTCACTGATTAAGGACATTTAAGAATGCACATTTTGCAGCAAAGAAAGAACAGGACCTTGCCTAAGAACCATAAACACACAGACAAGCCGAGTTGGCCTTTATCTACCTAAAGTAAACAGAGCAGGTTTCAATGCAGGGGTTCAACTGCATATCAACGAGTATGAGCAAGCAAAGCCTGTTACTGCAAGCAATAAATAACTGCAAATTTATCTTCATAAATCTCCAGACTCTAATTATTCAGTGGATTGAAAAGGAATAGCAGCTTGCAATGTTTCAGGGCTTAATCTCGGGAGAAGCAAGTGTGACAGCGAATTTTAAGATCTAGGTGCACACTTCCTTTGTGGAATCCCAATATCTTCTTGAATGTGTTTACCTAAATAAATTGGTAAGTAAATGAGGTTGCAAATAGATTTGGGTGCTGGATACTGAAAATATGTCTTTTTTTAATAAAAAATTTATGAGAAAATCTGCCATATCCTGATCTGAACAGTTATAGCACTCATAGGAAGAATGCATGGTTTAAAATACCTTTCTTTTAAATTACTTCGATCCATGGTTAGTCAATAGATGGGAAAGGGACGGGTCCATCTTACCACAACAGCTATGTTTGATGTACAGTTAAGAATGCAAATGTTTGTTTTTATGTGGGATTAAATCCTTGAATAAATTAAATACATTTAATAGATTTTTTTCTGAATAAGGATTTTTTAAATGTGAAGGCTGTAACAAGTATTTAGAAATTTATGTTATTTCATTGCAGCAGGCAATGAGATCTGCTTACGCTAGATACTGAATACAATGTCATGGATAAGGATGAAAGGTGGTGGGTAGTATTCAGCAGCTTATGTGAACATCTTTGAACTGCATCCAGAGTGGCAAGCCAACTCTGTTCCATAAATACCCTACACCTTATCTCCAGAATGAAGGTTTCACAATTCAGGCCACTTTTTTCCAAAGCTGTGTGTGGCAAGCCCTAAAATCTCCAGGCTCTAAGCACCCACCTCTGGGGTGAAACTCTAGGCCTAGGTTTTTGGAGAAACTCGCAGATCTGGCAGCATCTGTGGAGAGAAAACAGTGTTAACATTTCAGGTCCAGTGACCCTTCTACAGAACCAGAAGCTGTGAGAAAATTTTGGTATTTATGATGATGGGGAGTTGGAGAAGGAGTGAGCAGATAGGTGGAGATGGAGCCCAGTGTGAGAAAGAGAAAAGTGGGGGTAAACAGCCAAAGGGATTATTGATAGCAAGCCAGGGAAGAAGCAAAGCCAGATAGGTGATAATGGACCATGAGTAGTTGAAAATGGGTTGACTGTGCTAAGAGCAACCCATTTCTTTAAAGGCTTCAGAACGCAACATTGAATTTAACAATTTCATGGCATGAACATCTCCTTCCCTATCTATTACCTACCCCCACAACCCCGGTCCTGTCATGAAATGGGTTGCTTTCAGCACAGAAAACCCATTTTGCGACATTTCATTATCACCTACCAGCTCCTATTCTTCCCTGGTTTACCATGAAGAATCGCTTTGTCTGCCTGCTCCCCACCCGGCCTTTTTTTCTCTTTCTATCTGAGCTCCCTCTCCACCAATCCACTCACTCCGTTTCCTGCCACCACCAATGATCCCTTCCCCACCACACCCCAGTCATCAGCATAAATACCACCTTTTCCTTTCTGCTTCCAAAGAAAGGTCACAGCATTCAAAATGTTAACTCTGTTCTCTCACCACAGATACTGCCAGACCTGCTAAGTTTCTCCAGCAATTCCTGTTTTTGTTTGTTTCAATTCTCTAGCATCCATAGCTCATTGTTTCATTTTAGTGCTTTGTTTGTAGCTGGTTTGACAGCAACATGAGTGAAGACTTCAAACCCGATCAAGGGGAAGAGAAATAGAAAAGGATAACTGCAAAGTTAGATCACTTTTTAAAAAGAATTTGGTATGAACCTAAACACAATAAACTATATTACCTTCCTATCTACACATCTGATAAGTTATTTCGCTGCTGTCTCCCCCCGCCCCTCGTATATCTCTGAAGTGGTCTCGCAAAGTTAAGAATTCTATTCTCCTGCACCTCGTCATATTTCTGAGACTCTAGCTTGCCCCCTTTACTGTCTCCATATCTCAGTCCTTGTCTCTACTGTCTGAGTCTCATTGACACAGAGGTCAATTTCAACATGCAGTTATAGTACATTTTAGTGTCAGTATGTCCTGCTCAGACTCAAACAGATCAGCTGCAACGTTTATTGAGAGCAGATGTTGCTCATTGGACTTCTGTATTTAAGAGTTGAGTTTTAGGGCTGTTGTGGCACAGTGATAGTGTCCCTACCTCAGGGCTGGATATCAAATTTACATCTGTTTTAGAGGTGTGTCATAACATGTTTAAACTGGATGATATAATAGAAACTGAGATATTAGTGTTAATAATTTGCTGATTGAGTATTTTGTTAATTTAGTGGTGACTTTATTTTTTTAAAGACAAGCCTAATTCTCCCTCCTAGGGTTTGGATTCCACACAGGGAAAGGGTCCATAATGGACAAGTGGAAACTGATGGTTGTACTATAATATAAAGTACATAAATCCCCGAAATTCTTTTGTTGCCTAATTCCAATGTGAATATTGGTTTATCACTTACTGGTAGAAAAAGTATTCAAAGAATCTACATAGACGTATAATGAGAACAATGTAATCAACAAAAAAAAAACAGATCTGAGGAGACTTGTCCAAAAGCTCAGTTGAGTATTTTCGGAGGATCTAACTGAGCAGAGGTGAAGAGAGGCAATTGCAGAATGTACAGCCAAAGGGAATGGAGGCACGGTCATCAAGTAGTGAGGTAAATGAAGATTTTGATGCACAACAAGATTGAGTCAAAGAAACGGAATGTTCTCACAGTGTGATAGCACTGAAGGAAGATTTTAGGAACATGAAGGGCCAATGTGTGGAGTATTCAAGCACAACAATATGGATTTAAAATTGAAGCACTGGAGCACAAGCAACTAACATAGGTCAGTGAGCACACAGATGATGGGTGTTCTGAATGATGAATTGCTGAAGTTATGGAGAATGGAGGTATGAAGGCCAACCAAAGGAAATTGAGAATACAGCAGTTGAACATGGATGTGACAAATGAATAAATGAGTATTTTGATGTCTTATTGGCTAAGGTAGGGACAGAGGTGAACCATATTAGAAAAAAGGAAAGAGTGAAAATCAGGTTCAAAAATCAGAGACATAGCCTGGGCCATTGGCCTGAAAGAGGGTCAGCAGCAAGGTAATGGAGTATCTGGCATAGGTCAAAGAAACTGAGGGAAGTTCTCCCAATTTTAATGGGCAGAAATTATGACTCATTCAAGGCTAGATGTGAAGACAAGCTGCCTTGGAGCACAGAGGCAGTGGAAGCATTCCTCAAATGGAACTTTATCTCAAATAATTGAATTATTGTGTTGAGGTATTCCATTAGGTAAGCAAAAGAGCACCCCAAATAAATTCGTGGCATTATCCTCCTGTCTTTAGAGCTACATCCTTCACTATGGAACTCTCCCTTTGACTTCCTGTTAACATTTGAACAATTTACATTAGCAGTCATATTTTTGTGCAGCTTATCTTTAAGGTACAGCTTGCCTTTAAGAAGACCAAGTTGGCTCCTACCACCAAGTCTACAAACAACATTGCCAAATGTTGCTGCATGCTGAGGTTCCAGGCTGTTCGGAGTTGAAGATACAGTGTGCCAAAATTACCATCATCCAGAAGGGATTTCTGTACCAAGTTTGCATGTTGCCCATCTCAATCTGAATGGGAGCAGGCTGGTTGCAAATCATGACCTCCCACCTACTCAGAAACAGTGCCATCCAGTTCCTAGACCAGAATAGATACATTGGCCTAACTTTAAGTTACATGAATGGCCTGTTTCCTCAATATAAAAAACAGATGATTTTGAAGAATATCATAAATTTGATTTCAAACTAATTTCTAGGTGGTATCTATTAACTCTGACAATATTTAAGAAGCAGTTGCAAGACAGCCCGTAGTGTGTGACATATTCCCAACCTGCAAAAATATACATCAGTAAAATTTTCTGATGTTTATTACACCACACATTTTTGTATTCATTAGGTAAAAGAAAGGACACAATGTGCAGAGAAAATTCATCAGTTACCAGGTTAAATTATGTGTATGTTTTTTTGAGTGCAAAATTAATAAAAAGATTTTTTATTATAAAGCCTTCCTGCAGAAACATGGTCTTAGTTCCTTCTTGACGTATTACAGCATTAAGAAAAGCTTATGGTAAATAATGTTTGTACAAATAGCTAATGACATTCAGTGGAAGGTCAGTTTTAATTTTACTGGGTGTCTGATTAATTGCCAGAGGCCATGTCAGCTTTATTACATACCCATGGGAGTGCCAACTCCGTAAGCTTTGGAATCTATGAGGCCTCCGATCTGTGTCAAGTTGCAGTTTCTCTGCGTGACAAACTCAATGGTCGTTGACTCCATTAGCAAGGCATAATCTGTGGTTAAGACACGCTGGATTCCTTCTTCATTATTTTTGACAAGCGCGGTCTGTTGTCTGCTGCTCATGAAGGCCCACATCTTTTCGTAGGTTGATATTTTGGATTTCTGCAATGAAGCATAAGAGACGTGCATGGAGGAGAGAGAAAAAAGAACACGGATGAATGATTTTTCTGACTGGGAAATAAAACTTTCTGCAGTGGTCCTGGGAAAAGAAGGCAACAAAGGAATTGAGTAAGATACCTTTCAAATTGCATTTTCTTTGAAACGTTGAGACCTACAGCAGCTGATGGCTGTAAAAAAAAAGCCTGAAAGGATGGTCAGGTTAATACCAGCACACAAACAATCACAACTTCTTCACAAAGTGTTCCTTTTCTACAGCTGACAGCAGTTTTCATGGTTCACGGAACACAAATAGAAAACCAAAGGAATGGATTTCAAACCACAAGTGGAGCTACACACTGGAAAGGAAATGGAAATTCAGTGATGAGCTTGGGAAATGTTCTGTGGCAGATTCTTTCAAACTTTTCACCTCAGAGCTATATAGGAGAGTGGATTGGAGCATTGTAAACACCACATACACATGAGCGACTGCAATTCATTTTGTTTTCATGGGCAGGAACATTTCAGATGGCAGGCTTTGCTCTTGTCCCCTGAATACAGCAGCTCCACAGTCGCTCAAAATTCCTCCTAGAGAGGCCAGCACTTGTCGTCTCAAAATGGCAGCAGTGACAAGGACTGGAGTGGGGTGGCAACAGGCAGTGCCTGTCTTCTAAGTCTTGGAGTCCAGGACCAGCTAAATACAGGGGCACCTCACAGCAGCAAGGGGAGGTTAATCCCTGGGGGGCAGGTGGGTGCCTTAATTGAGAAAGCAGGCGATGTGGGAGGGGAGGTGGTCGGGAGCACCTGAGAGACGCAAACCTTGGAACCTCGTAGGGGAGGGGTTGCCAAATATACAAAGGGGGCATTTGAGGGTGGTGCCCATAATAGTGTCATGGGCATTCATCTGAACCCTCTGGTGCCTTGGGTAGATTTGCAATCACCAATCCTTCTTGTTGGTATCAGTCTAAAAGTTACTGATGAGGAAAGATGCCCACATAAATTCTTCAACAGAGGAAAGGCTCAGTGATAGAAGATAGGCTTAATGAACAGTAAAGATTTACTACATAGTTGCTAGTTACTGTACAACTAAAATACATGATTATGTCTCATAGGACATCAGACTCAACCTAACAGTAAGTCCACATCACGACCACTGAAATGTTCCAGTACACACAACAAGCCAACAATGGACATTGCTCAACAATTGTCCCAGAGGCAGATTTTTATATCCTCATGGACAGAACTTGTTTTGAGAAACCAATTAATCCTTTCAGGTGCCAACTGCTTGAGTCAACAGGGTCAACAGAGTAGAGTGAGCTGCAGGGATTCCCCACTGGCCCTGCATTCCACCCTCAGTCTTGTCCTCTCATTTAATATTGCACACAATCAGGAGTGAGCAGGAAGGCCAAATGGGGAATGTCACCCTTGCACCAACTCATACCTTCCAGCAAACTGCCCACAGGGGATCAATAAAATTGCTCCTAATTCAAATTTAGAAACATATAACAATGTGAATCTTTGCAATGGTTAGCTTTACATATATAGAGTACCTGGACAAGGAATAACAATAAATTTAGAGATAAAAACAGACTTAATTTAGTGTAACATATTCATTAAAATAGATTTGAGGTGAAACGCATTATGTCATTTTTATTTCTTTTAACATTCTTTATTAACTATTTGGTTCATCCTTACTGATTGATGATTCTAGAGTTTAAACATATTAATTTAGATTGGTTTTGAATGAAATGATGTCAGCCTTGGCTCAGTACTAAAATTCTCATCGCCTCCTCCCTGCCCCACCTCAGAATCCAAAGTCTGTAGGTTTAATGTCCTCTCCAGAGGTTGGTTTATACATTCTCGAGACAAATGCTTGAGTACAGTACTAAAGGGTGCAGTACTGCTGAAGTGCTGCCTTTTACAGATGGGATGTTAAGCCAAAATGGGCATGTCAGATAAAAGGGGAGGCTTTAAAGAAGTAAGGGAAATTTCTCTAAGTATTCTCCCCTGCATTTATCTCCCATAACTGGCACCACCAAAACATCACCAACACCAGCTCAAGATGTCATATATCAATGTTATTCTTTGGGATGACGTGTGTAAATTGGCTACTGCTTTTCTCTAGTTTACAGCAGTGACCACACTTCAAATGTACTTCATTAACTTTCCAATCCCAGTGGACCATCCTAAGGTCACAAAATGCAATAAACAGTCTCTTGGTGGTAAAGACCTGGAATATTGCTGAAAAGGGGAGATTTCACTGAAGATTTTTCTTTCCATCACCAAAAGGTAATACAGAAATGCAAGTAATTTCTTTTATTAATTTGAAGATAAAAGATTAGATGTACATAGCACATTGCATACCCATAGGATGTTGCAAAGTAATTTACAATTAATTAATTACGAACAGAATGTGGTCATTGCTGTCATACAGGTGAATGTGGTAACCAATATGCAGACAGCAAAGTCCCAAAAACCTGGGAGAAATGGGCAGTTATTTGACCCTTCCTGGTGCTGTTAATTAAAGGATAAATTTTGGACAGGGGAGACCAGAAGAAATTCCCAATTCTTTTCAAGAATAAATCAGAAACAATGACTAAAGTTATATCCTCATTATGTCAGTAGTAATCTGGCAGAGTGAATCACCTTGTCATTGTAAAATACATCCAAAACCATCAAAATATATGGAAGTGAAAATCAGGCCACTTTCATATTGAACCGGCAATCCACTCCACATGATTATTAACTACACAATAAGCACAGAAATGTAAACCCAGTTGTTTCTATCCACCTAAGGCATATACTACTTCTTATTTCTATTCTTGAAGCCAATAAAAAGCCATAAGGTCATAAGACCATAGGATATAGGTGCAGAATTAGGCCAGTCGGCCTAACCTGTCTGCTCCGCCATTCAATCATGATCGACCTGTTTCTCAAACCCATTCTCCTGCTTTGTTCTGGTTCTCCTTGTTCCCTTTACTAATCAAGAACCTGAAATCTCTGTCTTAAATACACTCATTGACTTGGCCTCCACAGCTCTCAGTGGCAATCACTATCTGTTCTGCTGAAGGTTATCACCCTGAAATTCTAGTTCTGTTTTTCTCTCCATTGATGCAACCATGTAATGGTCAATTTAATACTAATTTTGGGAAAATTACTGGAATACATCATCCACATCCATAAGACCTGGAAGATAGGATTAAACTCGATGGATCTTTTTCAACCAAACATCCTATTTTTGTATCATAAATTTTTCCATGTTTCTAAGATAAAGTAACTTATCACTTTGATAGTTATGTCCCACTACAAACAGAGTCAGCATGAACTCTTTTGGATAGATCTTGTCTGACTTATCTAGTTAATGTTTCGAGGCATCTGCTATGGTTCTGAGGTAATGAGAACATTGACAAAATTGAAAGAACACAGAACTGGAAGCAAAATTGTGAAGTAGATTCATAATTTATTGGAAAGTAACAGACAGACTAGCGATAAATAGAATAATCTCTGATTGATGGGATGTGACAAGTGGTATTCTCTAGAGATTAGTACTGAAGACAGAGCTTTACACAACATACATTTGAATGATTTTTATGAAGAGATATTTAATCAAGTTTGCAGTTGACACTAAGGTCAAGAAATGGTATGCTTTTTGTTTCTTTTTCAGATGTAAAGTAGATTAGCCTGCAACCTATCTCCACAAGAGTTGCACACACTGCTAAGTTTGTGGGTGTCACTTGGTTGATGTCCAATGCACCTAAAACAAATATTTAGTACTTATGTTACTGAGGATCTAAAGCCTAATTGTAGATTGATTCTGTAAACCAGAAACATTAAACACAGTTGTCGTTGGGTTGACTAAATTCAGGATAAAAAATTTTGCCTGGTACCTAACTAGTGGTCATTAATGGGATTCCTAGAGGATGTCATCAAAAAGTTAAGACTAATTTTCTTTAACCTAATTGTGGAGCCTAAATGCTCACCCTACTTACAGGCATAGCTACAAGAAGATGATGTGCAATTTGCCAGTAATCTGCCTGAGGACTTTTTGATCGAATATAAATGAAGCTAGAAAAGTCATATAATTGAGCTTCAAACCTATCTGATCCACTGCTGGTTGATGCTGCCTGTTATCCATGCTATTTAAGTCAAGAAGCTGTATAATAGAGAGGAGAAAGTGCAATGATTGTAACAAGGTCAGTCAGGTGGATCGTATAGAATATGAGTTCCCTGATTGGGGCTATTAACCTGGTCCAATCAAGGAGCCCCGGCTGACAGTTATAAACAGGAGTGAGAGAGATTCTGGTCACTCTGAGAGAGCTGGATCAGTGTAAAGGGCCCTCCATGTGTAAGTAAAGGGTGACTTTGTCACGAGATACCGGCTTCTGTGGAGTTATTTCATAAAGTTACAAAGGGATGCATAAGTAGGGAAAATTAGGGTAAGGTGGTATTGATCATTTAGAGAACGATAAATTACCACATTTTCTTCCAGATAAGAGATTAGGAGCTGTTAGGATCAATGTGATTTAAGAATCTGTATACATATATACAGCAGTGTGTACCATCTGCAAAGCATCAACTCACCAAGGCTCCTCCGACAGCAATTTACAAACTCATAACCTTTACCATTTAACTGAATGTGAGCAGCAGCTACATTGGAGCACCATCATCAGCAAGTTCTCCTCCAAGCCACGTGCCATCCTGACCTGGAAATATATTACCATTCCTTCAACATTGCTGCGTCAACATCTTGGAATTCCCTTCTTAATTATGATGTCGATGTTCCTAAAATTCTCTACCCCACCCATGGACTGCAGCAGTTCAAGGCTGAAGATCACCCCCACCTTCTGGCTTAACTAATGGAGCACGCGTCTTGTGAATGAATTATAAAAATAATCTGGAATACACTCCCCAAAATGCTGAAGTTGCAGGGCCAAACCCCAAAGGAGGAAACAGTTTCTCTTATTCTACCTTATCATAGTTGGCTTGCATGGTGTCTTGCTATTGGT